AAAACAAACCTTCCTTTCAGATAAGAGGTTTTTACAGGGCTTTTGAAATAAGAATTGGCTGGGCATGCAGCCAACAGAGACCTGGGAGAAATGTGGCCTGGGCAGTAGAGCTGGGAGACCCGCCAAGATGGGGAAAGGATCCCCAAAGGAAAGGAAAGTCGTGGTTTCAGGTGGTAGTTACCCTGCCTTGTCTCCACCCTATTCATAAGACACCAGAAAGTAAAGTCGGATCCCCTCAGATCTCAAAGGGTAAAGGTAGACCTAAGGGAGTGTGTGGGGCAAAAGTTACTGAGAACAGCGGCCGCTGGCTTATGCGGGTTCTGCCTGAATCCATGCAACAGTGCGGACGCTTCCCAACATCAAAAAACTGGAGGAATCACAGCTTTCTAATTCCTCAACACAGCGTCTTTGTTGATTTCCTGCCAGCTCTCACAAACATGACAAGTAACAGACCCAGGGGCAACGGCCCCGACACACACACACACACACACACACACACACACACGAAGGTATCCTCGCCAGAGGGCACTCTGCCTCCAAACTGCCTTTCCCTCCTTCCAATTTTGTCTCCAGTCTTAAAATCATTTTCCTTAATGATTAAAATACATGTAAAAGGTATAAATCATTCTGCAGACGGGGCAACCTGATTGATTAATGAGTATGGGAAGAGACAGCTGCTCAACCTCAGTAGAAAATGGAGAAATGCAAAACAAAACAATGAGACACCAAATTACACCCATCTGATTGGAAAACATTTGCAAGTCGGATAATACTAAGGGTCGGATATGATGGGAGGATCTGAGGACCCCCAGGCACTGCAAGTGGGAGGGTAAACTGGTATATACTCAAGGAAATCAAGTCTGAGTCTGATTTCTGGGGCCCAGAAATCCCTCTCCTACGTGTACACCCCAGATGGTCTTGTCGAGGTCCTCAGGAAGACACGTCCAAGGATGCAGCAAGGAGCTGAGTGTACAGACAGGGAGAGAAATAGTGAATATGTGTCCATTGTAAGGAAATTCATACAATGTAGAACTATATCATGAATAATAAATACACACATAATAAAAAAATAAAGAATCACCCATAGTCACACATGCACAAAAATACATACATAGATTTCTTTGTGCGTTCATATAAACATATATAATTTATTAATTTAAATGAGCTCATACTACACATGCTGTTTGATAACCTGTTCCACTCAACAATACACAGCCAGTACTATATCAATGTGATCATTTTTATCAGCTGCACAGTATTCCCCTGTAAAGATTACCATAATTTATTTAACCAATGCCCAATTGTTGGATATTTAGGTTATTTAAACCTTTTCATTATCAAACAGAACTGCTCTGAACTTCCCTGCCCAAGCATCTTTGCTTCCTCTTTTAATTAATAAAATTAGAAGCAAAGATAATAAAATTAGAAGCAAAGAATATGTATCAGTGGGAAAAATGTGTGTACCTTAGGAATGGAATTGCTTGGTTAAAGTTATATATATTTTTCACTACGATACACATTCTTTGCTTCTAATTTTAACAGTTTCCTTGGATCCACATTTTTCCTGTTGTCTGCCAAAGTGACTGCTTCAGGGAAAACAGACAAATGGGCTAGGATTGCTGCTTCATAAGCAATAATACTAACTACACTCTTCCTCCCTTATCTGCATTGTTAAGAAAAGGGAGGGCCACCACCCGAACCAATTCCTCCCTCACAGGTTTCCGGCATGAGCCTTGCCTCAAGTCACCGAGGACCTTCTGAGAAGCATCAGCGATGTAAAATACCAGGAGTTCAACATTCATTTGCTAGAAACATCTTTATTAGATGTCAGCTTGGAGTCTACTGTGCTTGGAGCCACAGTAGGTGTTAGAGAGACACAAAAGATGAAGGGCCAGCCCTGCTCTTCAGAGTCCAGCCCAGTCAGGCAGAGGGACACATTCAGAGTCACTCTTGACTCCTGAGTAGAAAATTCAAAACTCGAGTATGTTCTGGGAGCACTGGGGGGCCCTGGCTGGGAGGCTTCTCAGAGGAGGCGACACAGGCAGGCAAACATCAATGAGCTGGCCGTGTAGTGTTGGTGGTGGAGGGAACCCCGTGCAGAGGGTCAGAGAGAGACAAGAAACGCAGGCCCGAGGCCACACGACACCTCTGGAGAAGCCCTGGGAGTGCAGCAGGGCTGGAGCAGCAGGCAGAGCTGAGATGGGGGCTCTCGACGGAGGCAGGGGCCAGGTCATGAAGAGCCAGCTTTGCCACATGCTAAGGAGCTGTGCATGGGGAGATGGGTGGGCAGAAAACAGATGAGACCAGAAGGAGGATGGATGGGAGCGCTGGCGGCAGGAGCACCAGCCTGAAGGATACTGCTGTGATTCAGGAGACAAGGTAGAGAGGCGCTGGCAGGTGGGGAAGATTTCGTGGGGAAAGGGGTGTGGGCACAGGTGAGACAGCCTGGGGGGGTGGGGGTGATGGTCAGGATGTGGTGACTGCATGCTAAGGAGGCGGGAGGGGGAGCAGGTAAGGAGGACGCCCAGTCAGCACAGCAGGCATTCAGGGGTCTGATAAACCCAGCTGCAGAGGACATGAAAAGGGTGAAAGGTCACAGCACAGACCACCCAGCAGCGAGATGGGGCGCTGGTCCTGCCTCGGCCACAGACTTGCAGAGTGTTCCAGAATCTCACAGATGACTTACTTCACTCCCTAGGATGCAACTTTCTCATCTGCAAAGGAGCATGTGGAGACTGTGTACCATCAATGCCCTTCCCAGCTGTAAATGCTATAAGTTCCTGTCTACATCAGAAACCGGGGTGGCAGCTGTCTGCCTGCAAAGTCACCCCAACAAGGCAGCCTTCCCGGGCAGAGGAGGCAGGTCACGTCCATAACCCACTTCTCCCACAAATCAGACAGAACCTTCTTCCCACACTCTGCACACAAGGCAACAAGGACCCATCTTTCCCAGGCCTGCGAGCTGGCGCTCCCACTCAGACACGCGGCCCAGGGCCCGCACATCTGGCCATATGCTGCTTGCTTTTCTCCCCCATTCCTGGATAATACGGAGCAGACTGGCAAAATTGTTCAAATACCTTCTTAAAAAGAACACCGCCTTGTGGGCTCGGCGGCCTATTTTGAGCGAACGGTTTCAAATCTCCAGGCTCAGAGCCACTCTAGGCATCAACCTTCACCCCAATTGAAGAGGTCAGTAAAGAACTACGGTGCATCCACTGAACGCCAGGCCAGCATCGGGGACGGAGACACTAGGATGGACTGGACATCACTGCCCTCCAGGGCTGTCTGCTGAGTGGTAAGCCGGGCACTAAGCCCAGCCACCCAGCACGGCAGGAAAAGGGTTGTATGGAGGATGCACAAGTAGGGCTGGGGGAGGCCAGAAAAGGAAGCAACAGCCTCACTTGGACATCCAGGAAAACTGCACATAGGAAGGAGCATGAGAGCTGGGCCTGGTGGCTGTGTGCAGTCATGGCAGGTTGGCAGCAGGACCTGGCCCAGGAGTGAAAAAGCACAAGCCAGCACCATGGAGTGTAAAGAAAGGAGCAAGTGACAGAGAGGAGGCTTGGAAGGGCTGGCTGATGGCCACAAGGTGCACTGGGGCAGTCTGTCAGGGCCCTGAATGCCATACCACGTAGTGGCTACAGGGAGCCACTGAAGGTTGTAAGCAGAGGAGCGAGGGCAGTGGGAAGGATGGGGGGAAGAGGGGAGCAATTCAATGCCCGGAGCAAATCAAGGGGACGAGCACAGCGAAGAATGACGTGGCCTGAGCCAGGCCAGGGGATGGTGAGGTGAATGTGGGACCACAGTTCCTCCTCCTCTATTTTCTCATGACCACTGACATTGAATCCCACAGGCCCACAAGGAAACACTTTGACTCAGAGTCACAGCAACAACAGCAAACCTCAATAGAGGGCTCCCAACCCTGCCTTTCCAGGTCTGGTTTCTGCTGGTGTGCTGAAAACGCTCCCCCGGGGAGAGCAAGCCCGTGGCCCCAAACCTCCAAGAGCTGATCAAACACCAAAGCACAGTGTGTACACTTGGAAGGGGAGGGAATGGGCAGTGAATAACTGACACACACACACACCCAGATTTCCCGGCGGCAGGCCTGAGTAACAGGACACATTTAGTTCATTTCCTGCACAAACGGAATTTCCCAGGCATTAGGGGAAAACGTCCTCCTTGGGTCCCCTATAGCCCCCTCCATCCCATTACTCCAGGAAACTGGGTCATCCTTCCTAATTTCCCAGAAACTTTCTTCCCCAACTTGAGCAACATACAAAAGCCTCTCCACAATCCCTCAGGCCCCTAGGAACCTTCACTGGGGCAGCTCAGGCAGGCAGGGGCATAGGAGAGATGTCCGTGTATCCCACTAACAAAAAGTCACTGAGGCCGCGGAGGGTCACCAAGCATCCTGAGGCCCAGCTCCAATCCTGGGCCCAAAGCGCACCTCAAACAGGCATTCTGGGGGCATTCCCGCATGCCAGCACAACCGAGGAAAGGAAAACAGGCAGGTGGAGTGTGAGGGAGCCTCAGACATAAGGGAGGGACGGGTAGCAAGGTGGGAAAGGTCAGACACACCTGGATTTGAATTCTGACTCCACCACTGAGTTTACTCGGATAAGCCACCCTACCTCTCTGGAAATTTTTTCCTCATCTGTGAAACGGGTATAAAAATAAATTCCGTGTAAGGTTATCAGAATTTGGAGCGCTACTGTGGCTGTTAAGCATTAGCAGAGTTCAGAAGAATCCAATATTTATTATATATCGTTAAAAGGGGAGAAAATTCCTAAAATGTTACCAGGGAAAACCGGACGAGTGCACCCCCGCGGGGCAGGGCAGGGAGCCGCCGCTTGGCTAGCTGGAGCGCGCCAAGGCGCCGAGGCCGGAGCTGAGCCGCGCGCCCAGAGCATCTGTGCGCGCAGGTGGGGCGGGCGCGCGGCGACTGCAGGTTGGCGGTGCAGGGTGGCCCGCGCGGGAAGAAAGGGGGCGGCTGGACCCACCTGAAGACGCGCAGCAGCAGGCAGGCGATGAGGAGGGCGGTGAAGGCGCACGACACGATCACGGCCGCCTTCAGGGTGGGCAGGTCGTGGAGCAGGCTGGAGATGCGGGTCACCAGGGCGTCGCCGCTGCTGTTGGAGCTGCCGCCGCCCGCCGTCCAGGTGGCGTTCCCGGGCTCCGGGCCGGGCGGCGGCCGCGGCTGGCGCTCGGGTTTGGGC